TGGCATCTTCAATAACAGGCTAAATAACTACTCGCCGTTCCATCAAATTCTCTCTGAAATACTCTCACACCAATAGCTAATTTCTAAACACCGTCAATATAAAGAATGGCACGTAAAAACAGCATCCTTCAAATAACCATACGTAAACCACCCAATGACTACCACACTTAAGTCCACAAAATCAGTAATCCTAAACATGGAAAAAAGCTATGATTTGTAGTCCATCTCACAGGTTCCATCACATTTGCTTTGAGGAGAATATTGGTGATGTGGCAATCACATATCTGAAACCTGTATTAATCCAACAAGGACATTCTGCCAGAGAAACGGACCGATTCTATGAATGAACCACTTGAATAAACAATATAGAAGCTACCAAAAGGCATACAGAAAACTGCCGCTTACTGCAAACCCCTAATTCAACAGACCATCCCACACTGAAATATATGAAAAAGATCATTAAACAACTGTAACGCGTACTTGAAGAATACACCCTGAAATAATTTTTTCCCAGTCTCCCCCTTTCAAATGGCTCTCTACCATTGTCAAACTTTGTGCTGACCAACAAACACATGAAACCAGAATTTGTCAGACAACGAGTGTAAAACCTGCCCACACATCTCTGCTTCCCCAGCCTCAATCAATGAATCTCACAATAAAAACAACACAAGCCAGAGATCCTTCATATGCCTATATGAACATGATGTACCTGATGGTCCTCCATCAATAAGCTCTTGATGAGCAGTCTCCAGGTCTGATAATTCATGGTGAGACTCTGGAGAAGATTTGAGTATTTCCCATACCTCAGAAGCCATCTCTTGGGGAAGGCTGGCATTGATAAAGAAATCCAACATCACCTCAAATGTGCAGCCTTCAGATACCTGAGGGTGCTTGATGATTGTGAAATAAGATTCAAAATCCAGCTCATGGTTTATCAAGCAGTCATGAACCCACCTTATTGTATGGATCTGAGATGTGAAGACACCTCAAGATGCTGGAGAAGTACCATCATTGCTTCCTGCAGAAGATCCTGAAATCCAGTGGGAAGACAAATGCACCAGCATTAGTGTCCTCTCACAAGAAAACACCATGAACGTTGAGGCTATGATCATTGAACATCAACTTTGCTGGGCCAGCCACATCATCCGGATGTCTGACATAATACTCCCAAAGCAAGTTTTATTCTCCCAACTCAGTCAAGGCATACGCTCAACAGGAGGACAGAGAAAGCACTTCAAAGACATCCTTAAAGTCAACTTGAAAAAGTGCAATGTTGACATCAACTCATGGGAGACTTTCCCAAGACTGCACCAAATGGAGGAAGACTCTGCTACAGGGATCTTAGTACTTTGAAACCTTACAACAGGAGACAGAGAAGCAGGAGCAACAGAAACAGTATGTCACAGACTGAATCAAGAATCCAGAGCTACCCACCCCGAATGGAAATTGTAACAGACCCTGTCAATCCTGGATCAGCCTTGTCAGCCATATTCAGACCTACAGATAGGGCAGTCATGGAAGACAATCATTTTTTACTGTGAGGGATTGCGAAAAAAGAGAAGAAGATGCATGATGTAATGCACCAGATGTCCTCTTGGAACCTGTGGGTGAAACCAAGTAACTACTATGCTTGAGAATAAATTCCCACAGCAAAATTACAAAGGACAGAAATATCCTATCACCATTTGGACTATACTTTTCATATAGCAACCACTTCATCTCTAACTTCACAGTCCTTGTCGCCATAGGAAACCTACAAAATGCCTTCAAAAGTTGGGCTCAATAAGATATTCATATTTTTTCCAGACATCAACAAATAGGTACTAACAGAGTCACTGGTTTTATGGCTTATTTTAACTTTCCTCTCACCCCTCCTACTGCTAAATTCTTTGCTTCACAGATGATAATTGCCACTTCCCTTTCAACTGGTCAAATTAGGTTTAAGGTAAAGTAATTATTCTAACTTAGCTTGGATTGATGAAGGGCACTTTATGCCTGAAAGATTCTGACAGGTCTCCCAACCATACAAGTTGGTCCAATAAAATATATTACCTCAACTCATAAAACTTAGTTCTCTGAGATACCACCAAGGTACTTCAGGATCAACTAGAAAAGAAAAGGGGCTAGGAAACATAAAGCCACTGTTTAAAAAAAAAACTTAGACATAAAATTATACATGAAAATTACAGAAGAAATATAATGAGGCAAGTAAATTTGTGTTTGACTGATGTAATTGATTTTTTTCTCTATTAAGTTTAAATGAAATTTATCTTGTCTAAATGAGTATCATTTATAAAGCACAAATCTGGTTTTATCATTGATGCTACAGAGCTGAATTAATTTTAAGAATCTCTGGCCTTCTGGGAGTGAATGTAGCCTAACTAATTCCATTCTTTAAAGCTAATTGTATTTGAATTCGTCAGTTAGCTACAACCACATATAAAATGACTAGCTTCAGATATACTTCTGTAGAATCCTTCTACAGTATTTGCCATTTAAAATAAGCAGACAAGGTTCTTTGGGTAAATCTGATATCTTTTATAAATTTGAGTTGGTCTAATGACAGATATCTGATTTACCCAAAGAACCTCATCTGCCTATGTCCTTAAACCAACATGGGTACAACCTACACCCATTTAAAATAATGTATGCATCTCATGTAGTAGAAGAAAGGAAAAAAAGTAAAAAGAAGCTAACTTTCTCAAATGAAGTTTTCTAGGAATGGCACCTTTTTATTTACTCCCAAATTGTAGAGCAGCCAGTAATGATGAGCAAAATCACTAATGTTATATAAGCACTGACAATATTGCCTTCCCTGTTATTCTCATGTGGGTAAAATTAATTCATGTATAGCGGTCTGGAATAGTTTCGCGTCTCATTTAGGCCCTAAATGGAGAATTTAAGAGGTACAAAAGCCTGCTTCTCAACCTCTGCATAATGATGTCCTTTCCCCCTCATATTGATTTCAATAGTTGCTGCTAGTTGTGCGGGCCGCCTCCCGATCCCGTCCATGTCACCATGTACGAGCCGGGATGCGATATGCGGACCCGTCTTTGCGCACACGGGCTGTGGCCAGCAGCCCGGGCACACGGGGTCAGAGGAAACCGTGCGGCGGAAAGGCACGCACGGGCTAGAATTAGTCACAGACGCGTAGTGGTTGATTCAAAGATTATTTACTTACACCCAAGATGGTCGCGGTGTAGGCTGGACAGTTTCCAGGTTCAGCTCCGCTTAAATCCTCGTTGGAGGACCACGACAAATTCGGTTCTTGGGCCCCGGAGTTGTTAAGGCTCCGCGGGTTCGGCAATTCTTTTCCCACGGAGTTGTCGAAGCTCCGTGGGTTTGGTTCAGCTCTCTGGCCCCAGAGTTGTTAAGGCTCCGTGGGTTCGGCAATTGAGTATATAGGATAGGGATACGTCTAGGATTGCGCTCAGCGACGGGGAGAGGCCAGAGGCTGTTTAGACCTCTGTTGCCTTCTTAAGAAATGCGCTGGGTCCGTAAGGATCCGCAGCGCTTAGAGATCTCGGACTCCAATTGCTCTCTCTCCAACTCGGGCGGAAACCACCCAAGCTCTTTATACGGCTAGCAAGCCAATTGCTAGCCATCACGTGTGCATAATTTAACACAAGCCAATAATGGGGCTCGAATTAAAATACAAATGGCGGGAACTCATTTGCACCGTGCATCTCTGAGATGCAAAAGAAATGCACCATGCAAAGAAGGCTACAAATTGGCGGGAAAATTCTCCGTTGCACCGGAGTTCTCCTTTGCAGCAGAGAACTCCACCGTGCAAAGAAGCTGCAATTTAACGGGAACATAATTTAGCAGTGCCGAAGCACACACAAACAAAAACTCTCAACTTTGGGTTGTGACACTGGTATGCAGCACCTCATAGGATTAAGTCATAACCTACAGTGCACAAACCCATTAGTAGAAGGAGACTGTGATTTGTTTTATTGTACTTTTTTCAGTCTACTCATGAATTAGATGCATGCATAAAAGACCTATTTTTAAAAATTAACAACCAATCTGTATTTCAAAAATTGTTTTAAAAAATCTAAAATGAAAGAGTCTGTCCTTCTAGTCTGACATTGTTAGGGTAACTCTATGTGGATTTTTGGGGAGCACTGGATTTGCAGCTGAATGAAGGCTATTACCTGTGGCCTAGCAGGAGCTGCTGACAAGGCAGAATGATATCTAAAACAGCTATTTCCTTATGCTAAGTAACTATTTTAACTGTGTTAACAATTTTTCTGAAAAAAAGCAGCAAGTAAATCTGTGTGAGTCTGTGGGCTGTGAATGAGATGACGTTTTAGGAATGTGGAAGATGGTACAACATGAGACAGAAAAACAGACTGGAATGTGAAAAACAACACGTAACTGGTAACAGAATCCAAGATGAACATATGCAAAAGGTTGAATGGTGATTGGTGAAGAAGCCTCCAGAAGCTTCCCGGTTTTGGTCAAAGTCTGCCCACTGACCGAAGAAAAAGAGTGAAGGTCTTAGACATGCGCTCATAGCAAAAAGACATGTAAATAAATGAAATGCATAGGCAATTTCATGCTAATGAAGCAAACAGTAAACAGAGGCAGAGCTTGAGATGGGAGGAGAAATGGGTGGAACATGAGGAGGGATGAAGGTGGAGTGAATGTTAATGAACTTAAACCAGGATGTATAAATGTGGGGAAAAATTATTGTTCAGTGCAGGTCCCCTAGTTCATGGGCTGTGTGTCTGTGAGGGACCCTTGTCCAAATCTGTCTCCACACTAAATAAAGCTGTTGCGAGCAATGTGTGCAAGTAGCGTTTGCTCCCTGCTTGCGGTGGCTAATGAGTAACAGGATCCATGAGCAATTGGATCGTCATCTCCCTAGTCATTGGGCGGTGCATGGAGTTGGGGTCTAACAGACATGACATTGAAGAATCTACCATGCTAATTCCTGGGTATTTGTAAGAAATGGCTCAACCTCAAACAAACCTAAACTTTTTGTTTCTTTTTAGGATTTTATTAGGGGTCTCTCTATTTTACTCAGAGGCACAGTACAAGAAAAGCTCAACTGGGCCTTTAATTTATATGACATAAATAAAGATGGCTATATAACCAAGGAGGTAAGAATTCCTTTTTAGATTCATTAATTGAAACCACTGCATGCATGTATGTGTTACTTATAGGAACCTGCCTTTGTGAAACTCTTGGTAAAAATGATGAGATTCATAGCAAATATTTTTTTCTTATCAGATCAAGAATGTTAAAAACAATTGCATTTAATGGAAACTTTCTTTAAAAGGATACAGGAGAACAACCCAGAAGTTTACGTGCAAGTTATAAAAGGCACAGCCAAAATTCTTAAAGCAGAAACGTGGTTGAATACATGTGTGTCCATGTATTTGCATTCATGGTTACTAGACCTAGATAGGCTTTTTAGAGTACATAAAATATTTGTCCACAGAAATGCAAGTGAACATCTGCATATTTGTAAAGTCTGTCCCTGAGAATTTGTAGTTGGCACATAATGTACTAAAATGTTATTAGTTCTTAAGGCATTTATTCTGCAAGGATTTCCACATGTGCTTAACTTCACACATGGGACTACTCAAACATGAAGTGGAGTCTATACATGTATCTTTGAAAGACACTATAAATGTTAGTGAAGCAAAGATCTTTCAGCAACACACCTTAAGATGATTACAGTGTGGATTTGTACAAATTATCTTTCTTATCATATTGGCACTAAATTACACATTTATAATTACACATACCCTTTTTCATTCAAGTCACAAAGTACTTCACAAAAGGTGGATTGGTATAGGCACGTGTGTGTGTAATTTTCATGGATACTTGTTTGTGTGTGTGTTCCAGTTATATTCCCATGGTGAAAAAGAAGAAATTCAGGCACAGGTTATGGTGATAAGATTTACCCTGGGTGTGTCTACATGGAGATGTAGCTCATTGCTATAGTGACATAGCACTGGCGGGCACAAACCGCTCATTGTTCATTGCTACTGCTCGTTGTAGTATGATCGGAAATGACCTGTGTACCACTGGGGCTGTGCAAGTAACAGTGGTACTAAATGACTGTGCAGTAACAGCTGTGTAGTCAGGGACACATATAGACGCACACACTGTCACCTACCTTTTTCCCATTTATATTTTGTATATCTCAGGAGCCTTCCTTCCACATCTAATATGTTAGATGTCTTAAAGCATTTAAATTCAGATATATCAAACCATATTTAGTTAGAATTTTCTCTTTTCATTTCTATTACATGACCGGAAAAAGCCACAGTTACTAATTTAGAACGTCAATGCTGCCAGCATGCATTACATTCTTTAACTTGTTGATGTGTTGACAGCGTCCCAGTGGACACATCTGCATGTGCACTGTTACCGCGCTGTACAGGCGCGCATCTACATGTGCGTGCCCATACTGCGGAGTAACTATGGTGACTTATGCTGACTTGGGAGTAAATTTACTGCGCAGTAAGGCACATTTAGACACCTTACTGTGCAGTAACCCTGTTTGTGTGGACTGACTTGGGAGTAACTTTACTCCCAAGTTGGCACACGCACAGCATTACTACACTGTAACTCTTGCATGTGTAGACACCATTCTAAAAACCGCTTACTGCGCAGCAAATGCACGTGTAAACATGCCCAGGCTGTCCCAAATTGTGCTAAAAACCTTTGCTACCCTGGTTCTAAAACACCACCTTCATTTTATCCTGCCTTACATTAAAATGTGTTTTTCTCTTCAGGAAATGCTTGATATTATGAAAGCTATATATGATATGATGGGAAAATGTACTTATCCTGTTGTCAAAGAGGATGCACCTAGACAACATGTGGAAACATTTTTCCAGGTAGGATAAAATAACATACAATTACAAAAACAAAAATCTTATGAAAGTTTTACATTCTGATTAGCTAACAATTAGCATATCCTTTTATATTTGTTGTCTCCTTTTCTCTGTGTCTGTCCCAATTGACTTGTCTATCTGATCCATTCTGTTATGTCTCAAACTCACTACAGCAGACCCTATCATTTATGACACGATTATATACTCTCTTATACAATGGCGCCTGCCTTAATTGATCACTGAACTGCAGTATACCTGAAATAAATCATAAAAAAATAAGAGACTGGTTTTCAGCAAGCTTTAAATAAGACTTAAGCACCTGTTCTTATTCTTCCTGGACAGAAAATGGACAAGAATAAGGATGGAGTAGTTACCATAGATGAATTCATTGAAAGCTGCCAAAAAGTAAGTAATGCATGATAAATGTGTAATGTATAGCTACTTCTATCAGCTGGCTAACAGACATACAATCCTACCAACAGGGTAGGGACATATCCCAAAGCACCTGCACAAAAAATATGCACATACACACTTGCAAAAACCACTCCTCTCTATGCAAACATATACTTGTATTTATAGAACTGATGGGTAAAGACTGGCTTTCTTGCAACTGTTCTCTTTGCGTCAATCTTCCTGTGAAAAAACTACCTTTTTTGGTTTGCAATAAAAAAATAGTGCTCACTATAGCAAACTTATTTCAGCTTTGTGCTAATTGCACGTGAAGGGGAAAAAACTGCTCAGGCCACAGTTTAGAAAGTATGCATTGCAGAATCATTTAAAAATAAGAAATGAATTATTTAAAACATGATTTTCAGTTAGCCAAACACTTCTATTTTTTGCCAAATAGAAATGGAAAAAATAATAAAACTGTCAGCTACTTTTTTGCCATTTACATAGTCCATGGTGATAGATAATATAATAAAAGAGTATCATTGGCACATTCATAATGAATGACATTAGATCAAGTGTTGAGAGAGAGACTATGCAAAATCCTAGCAATAACGAACTAGAGCATGCAGGTTAATTTAGTTGTGAAAAGAAGTATGGTTTTAACAAAGCAAAACCAGTGCTTCTGACTGTATCAGTACCTAATTGCAGTTAACATTTGACTAGGGAAAGCATATCTATCAGAAAACAGCTTGCTGCAGCCACTTCGTATTTGACAAGCTGCCTGGGAAATAAAAAAGATACTACATAACTTGTGTGTTATTTTGGCCTACATAATCATGGGAATGCCCTATTGGACCAAAAGCAAGATGCTGATTTGAGGGTGAAGATTCTTTAGATCTTTAGGAAAAGTGTGTAATATTCTTGATTCTTCTCAGTCAATTAAGTATAACAAAAAGGCAGTTTTGACTGTTTTGTATACTTCTAACAATAGGCAGTGGAAGAGACTGATTTTTTCTAGACTTATCGGCAGCTGTGAATTGCACTGACCATGGTATTCTCTGCAGCAGATCTCCCTCTCTAAGAGTACAGCATGGTCCTTAGTATTTTCTGTTCTTAAAGGATGTGATTTGTCACTTTTCTTGTTCAACATAGATGGAAGGCTGCTAGACTGATCACCACTAATGAAGATATTCATCCTTGTCTTCATTTCATCAAACCCTAAAACTGTTCTTCCTCAGTGTCTAACTGAGGTTTGGACAAGCATAGGAGTGAAATGACAAATTAAATCTGGGCAGATGATACTGATGGGAAGGACAATTCCTTTTTGGAAACAGGAGGATACGGTGAACATAGCTTCACTAAGGGGTTCTCTGCTGTGCTTTTCCAGTTTGTTTCATAGCACCAGAGTTGTGTTATGTTATATGCTGCTTCACAGTATTTGGATACGTTGCCACTGAAAAATTGTGGACCACCTAAGAATCGCAATGGGAGTGACAATTTTTAATAGTTTGTGTTGTTTGGGATGCAGCAATACAGCACATCAGGCTAACTCTAGAGAAAGATGCTAGTATCTAAGTCCTAACTTCGACATTCAATTTTTAAATCCAGATTCCTGCTCAGCTGCCACCTAGGATAGTGACTGAGTGAGTGTAAAGTCCACAAATGCAAGTCACCAGCCAGGTAGTGTGTTCTCCTTCTGTGCCTCAGCCCCGGGGTTCCCTGCTGTGCCAATCTGCCCAGAAGTGCCTCAGTCTCCACCTAACTCACACCTGAACTCAAGGCCACATCCAGACGAGCACAAATGTGCAGTATGTGGTGCCACAGGCCTGTCTGCAGCACCACACACCACAACATGCAGGTTTTGCCCACACTGCTACCTTCCAGCACGGGCCATTTTTTTGACCCTAAGAGATCTCAGGGTAAAGAAAACTCACACCGAATAAAGCCAGGCAGTGAATGTGGTGGCAGTGAACACCACTCAAAACCAGAGCCTGGCTGGCTGGAGCTATGCTCCAGTTGCTGGCCAGGCTCTCAGCTGCAGGAGTGCCATGGATGCAACTTCCCAAGGCCCCCAAGACCCCAGGTAAGGCTGCTAGGGCCAGCCGTCTCAGCCCAAAGGCAATTCAGACACATCTGCTGCCATCTCCCAGTAGCATGTTCTGACCAACAGCCTACAGCAGTGGTTCTCAAACTGACTCAAGCCACCCTTCAAGGTACACTTTGGAAAAATGCCAGCTCTTAGCTCCTAGAGCAGAATCCAGGACACCCCCTTTCCAGGGGAGCACATTATCACTGGACTACAAAGATCCACCCTCTTGTTTACTCTCCTTTAGCCCCACACATCTTCCTTTGTTGATTGCCCAGTATATCACAGCTTCAACAGCAGGGGTGCAGGATCTTCTAGGCTGTCGCCCAGAACCCCAGATCTCACGTGTCTTGGGCAACTGTTCTAAGGCAGTGGTTCTCAACCTTGTCTAACTCAAGGTACCTCTCAGAAAATGCCAACTCTTACTTTTCATTCTTTTATTTTTACTACAGAAAAGTAATAAAGCAATTCTTCTTTTGCAAAGAACTAAGAAAAACCACAGGGCAGAACCTATTTAGAACTATGAATTCCTATTTGAAATACTTGGATTTATTTTATGAATCATGTTTAGACACCTACCTGATAATGGTGTGTGGCACTGCAGGATCTTAAGGCACACCCTGGTTGAGAATCACGGCTCTAAGCACTAGAAAAGTATCTAAAAGATAAGGACTGATATTAGCATGACTGGCTGTACTCCTGTGTGAGTGAACCAAGGCTTCAAGAACTAAGAACTCAGTGCTGTCAGTCTGCAATAGCGATGCCCTGGTCAGGCACAATAACTTAGGACCTATCAGGAACTTGCGCATAAGGATACTTAGTTTGAGAGTGCTAAATGACCTTTGAAGAGATTTAAGGACCTATGGTTGGCTCAGCCATCATGTACAGGAGCTCAGTTTTTTCCTTGAATCATTTTTTTCCCCAAAATATGAGGGACCTAAGGCTAGGTGAGGGTTTCTTTTGTTTTTCTTTGTTTTTGTGTAATGGACATAGGCACCTAATTTGGAATTTTCTTTCCTAAGTCTTTCTTTGATGAACATTTTTTTTAAATATCTTCAGCATATGATGGCATTTGTATTTGACAGTAAGCTAAGTCAAAAGTATCTAAATAGGATATTTTACAGAGGTAGTGACAGGATGTTTTATGTATTATATAATGTTCCTGGGGATTCCTAGAGAAAGGCAAGCTGTGAGACGCCTCTTAAAAGAGCTTTGCATAAACAAGAGCTGCGAGCAGTTGAAGCTACAGTAGGAAAGGACAGAAGTACAAAAATACAGTGAGTAAGCTTTACATGCTCTATAAAACAGAAATTTATCAGTTTCCTGAGGGTTTTTTTTGCCATTAATGGTTGGCATCACATCCTAGATGACTTAATATGAAAAGCTATTTTGCAGGACTCTTGAAACTCATTGGCATCATACCTTGAGAACTGAGAAAAAATGAACTTACCAAAGCATACTGAAAGTTATCTAAATGACCTGAAGAAATGAAAGGTTGTTTGGTAACTTAGTCTTGCAGGGAATGCCACCCTCCCCGCCCCTTCCCCCCAAAAGAACAAACACCCCCATGAAAGAATTCTGAAGGTCACCTCATTGTGAACATCACAATGGTACCATGTTTTCCCTGTGAAGAAGAAAGGTAGGCAGTGAGTTACAAACTCTCCTCTCCTAGTTAAATATCCTCTGATACACTGGGTGCATATTTACATGTAATTAATGCAAAGCAATAAACTCCAAAGCTTATTGCTCCCAGCTGCGCACCCGGGAGCAATAAACTCCAGGGTTTATTGCCATTTGAACATGTACCCAGGAGTGCAGCACATTGAGACATGTTGGATCAGCCTGCCAGCCCGGGGCTGTTCTCCCCAGATCACTGTGCTGCAGAGGGGCTGGCTGGGGCATGAGGATGCTAAAGCACAGGGCTAGCCAGTAGGTAGGCCCCGCACTGAAGCACCTTCATGGTTCAGTGTCTACAAGTGTGCTGGTGCAGAGCTTTTCACTTGCATTTACAAATACTATCCTGATATGGAGTAAATTAGTTTACTTGTGTGTGTTTAGAAATGCCAAACTTCAAAAGAGTGAATTAGGCTGAGACAGAAATTGATGAAAAACATAAGATTCCCTTTGGGAAAAATGATTGCTTTTATTAATGAAAATATTGCAGCTGTGATCAAGTCTGAGAATGAAGGCTCAAAGAACCCTTTTTCAGTTCTTTATGACACTTGAATGAGCCATGCTGTCAACTTACCTGGAAGTATACATAGAAATATATTTGTAAATGTTAACAGACTTACTAGTGCATAAACCAGGCCTTTACAGCCTGTCGTTCCCACAAAACTTAGTTTTGTCAGAACCTCCAGGCAAGGAGAGGAGCATATATATCTAATGCCTACATACCTACAAGGGAAAAGGATTACAATGTAACTTGTGCTGGTGGTAATCTCTAGGCAGACTAACTGGTCTGAGATGTCCATTTCCATGCCAACTATACTGGGAACTAATGCGCAATTTTTTGAAAAAGAAAATGAATAAAAAGTTGTAGTTCAGCAGTTGAGCATTTGGTCACCTTGTGAGAAGGTGAGAGGAAATGATTATGTAAACATGGAAGACTGGTTCCAGCAACAGAAGCATTTCATTCCAGGAATAATCATGGCTCTTCCTATTCATGATAAAACAGAAATCAGAGTGTGTAAATCCCCAAATAATTTGATTAACCAGAGTAAACATAAAATAAATAAATCTTACAGCAGCATGTATGGTCTGCCAAGAAAGCACATCATGGAAGCAGTTAGAATAATTGGAACATATTTTTGGTGATTCCTACTTTGCCAACCATCCACCAAGCACCGGATCTCATTCAAGCCGAGCATTTTGATCTCACGCTGCTTGAGGTGCTTCCTATTTTTGAAACCAACACATTGGCAAAACAAATTCATCAGCTTTATTAATGCACTTTTGAATAAGTTGAATTTTTGTGTTATTTAAATGACTGCCTTCAAGTATCACCGGTTGCTACCTAGAGAAATCTATCAGTGCTCATTAGCATTGATGAGGGAACATTTTCTTCTGCAAAGACATCTTCTGTGATGACAGGTATGTAGCAAGACTGTCATCCTTAGTCTGTACTTCAGAATCAAGTAAACTTAAATTGCAAGCACATTAGCTGCTAAAATTGTCAAGTAGTCAAAGATTTTAGAGACACACAGTGATCATGGTGTTAATAGAGACATTGTTATTTGTTAGACCCCGACTCTCTGCGACACCCAACGACTAGGGAGACAACAGATCGATGCCACCACGCATCACCTGCACACACATTGCTCATCAACAGCTTTATTCAAAATGAAGACAGCTTCAGGCAAAGCTCCAACAAACCAGGGAGCTGCCACGAACGTCAGTTCTTTCCATATTTATATACCTTGGTTCATGCTCATTAACATTTACTCCACCTTTGGCCCCTCTTTGTTCCACGCATATTCCCTCCTATCTTAAGCTCTGCCTCTGTTTACTGTTTACTTTGTTAGCATGGAATTACCTATGCATTTCACTTATTTACATATCTTTTTGCTATGAGCGCAGACTTAAGACCCTGACCCCGGCTTCTTTCAGTCACTTGAGGCTTCTTCCTGATTTCTTCACTATCTCCAAGGTCTTGCTTCTGCTTTATCTCTAACGATAGCCGGTGGTCTGCATCCTGTTCTTTTTACACAATGAGCTGTATATCTTACAACACTTTTACATTGTTAGGAAAATGCTTGCCTAAGCGTCTTGCAATGTTTCTTTTAACATACCCTTCTGCATTGTGGTTAGCAGCTTTGCTAGGCCGCAGATTATACTAGCCTTGTATTCAGCTGCAAATCCAATGCTCCAAATACTGTCACCCTAACACTATTAATTAACAAACATTACCTTGTAAAAGTGAAAAATTATTTAGTAAGCTTTCCTAAAATTATCATTGTTCCCCTGGACCCTAAAATTTACTAACATTTCTGTGCCAAAATAGTAGCTTTAATTATTCCAATACATTTCTAGGTACAATTCAAATAAATTATTTTGGCCTGTTTCAAAGCTGAAATCAGCAATGGCACTTAAGATGCTGAGGTCTTGATCTGAAGAGAACACTTCCCAGGAGGTGCTCAAAAATTCACTCTTCTTTGATTCAAAAGTTCCCCTAAGATCTAAACTAATGCAAGACCAAGTTATTTTCCTTAGTATTGAGAGGTAGGGAATACAGAATTTTACTCTGGCTGATGTGAAGGAGTCTTATTATTACATTTATATATATGCATGATTATGTGCGAGTTTAGTAAACAATGTGGGGGAGAACCGTACATTTTGATGCATTCAAAGTAAGTTAACTGTGCACGGGTGCCTTTAATTATGTAAGTTGAAATAAATATTTTTAAGAAGTTCTATTAAATATCAACAAATGGATTTATCAGAGAAGAGCTGCAATGACCTACTGCAAACTGCAGGAGGAAAAAATTATCTTAGGGGTCAGCAATTCTTGCAGTGTTAGCTGAGGGAACTAGCAGATTCTCAGCTGTAATGAATGAATGCTTGTACTTACTCAGTTGTATACTGTCCTCAAGTCTTCAAGATAGTGCCCTAGATTTGCTGGGAGCATCTACACAAGATGCTATTGCGCCATAGCATCTGTTGGCAAAAACTGTGACCGCTGCTACGTTGCTGTAGCAATGCGCTCCCCCATTATAGCACGTTGCTATGGTGATGTAGCAGCCAAAAAATAACCGTGCACGGCCAGCATGGCGCAGTATGTGTTGTTACTGTACCATCTTTTAGTACTTTCAAAAGGAAGTACTAAATGGTGGCACAGTAACAAAGGTGCTGTATGGCCATATGTAGACGCACCCACTGAAAGCTATACCAAGCCGAGAAAATTTCAGATTCTGTACATAGAAATAATTCTCAACTCTCTTCAAAGTGCATCCATGATAATGATTTAATAAATATGAAGTTGTCATATGTTTACACATTATTTACAATCTGTTTCAGTAGATGTAAGTCAATAACCTCCAAGAGAATGGAAAATTTCAAAACTATGTTAAACATTATTGTATTAATGAGCTGTCATTAGTTTTGATTTTATGCAATCACCATTGAGGATTACTAAAATCAGTACTAGACTTATTATTTCTAAAATTAGTACCAGTTTCAGTCAATTTCATCGTATCTACTCACATTTTTCCAACCAAGCGACGCTCTCAATAACTATGGTTTACTTACTTCTACTCATTTTCTTGGACTCCTGTGGTCAATCTACAATGTTGTCTAACTCGTACCTTTTCTCCTTTACAGGATGAAAACATAATGCGTTCCATGCAGCTCTTTGAAAATGTGATATAACATGGCTAGCACTGCAATTAATGGACAAATGTGAACTATTCTGCAACATTTCCTAAAGCTGGATTTGTCACTTTTACCATAAATAAGATTGCTCAGCTTTACACTGAGACATGCATTATGCAAATAAGCCTTGTGTTATTATAAAGCTTCCCCCAAAAAGGATTTTCCAATGTCTGTCCTTTTAAGATTGTTCATTTAGATAATGGGATACTCAAAGTCAGGTTTTGCTCCACAACCTCTGAAAACAGGACCTGACATTTACCACCATTCCAACCCTTGTTTTATCTAGCTAATACAAGAGATAAAATTGTTGTTTTATTTGTTTTTATTGAATTCATCTCCAAGATTTTAAATGTCAGCTATTTAATTTATACAGAAAAATACCAAGTATTTCCCTTTCATATTTATATGCTGTTAATAATCCTCATTTTTACACAATACTTTGAAAAATAATTGCTAGAATGTGCAATATATCTTGCTGCAACGGGCTCCCACTTTTATTTGGTTTTCTTCTCTCGCTCTTTTTTTAAGTCCAGCTAATTTATACATGAGAAAGGGCCTTTTTATAGTAATAATAATAATAAAATGACTGATTTCCATAGGTTTAGTACCTACCAGTGGCAAACTTATGTCATTCTCACCTAAAAGTCTGCATTTATTAAATTTTCATGAAATTAGTATTTAAAGTATGTATAATTCTGGTTGGACTGTCAGCAACTTTTCTGTTCAATATTAAGGATCTGAATAGGTTTTGAGCTGAAATTTATTCGTGAAAAAAATCAGTTTGGGTTCTAATGTTATTTCCATAATACATGTCCTACCAAATTTAACAAGGAAAAAGAAATAACATTATTTTGAACTGTTCATCTCACTTCATTCCTCAGGATGCATGTCCATGGGCGCATCTACATGTGCAATTAATGCAAAGCAATAAATTCTGAAGTTTATTGCTCTGGAGTTTAGTGCTCCCAAGCATGCTATTTGAATGTGTGCCTGGGACCATAGCACACTGGGACACAACAGCCCTGGCAGGGATCAGGATGCTAGCCTACAGCTGCTCCCCCCAGCTCACTGTGCTGCAGAGGGGTGGGCTGGCTGGGGCAGTGTCTACATATGCACTACTGCAAAGTAAAAAATTAAATACAAGTACTATCCTGCTGTGGAGTTAATTAGTTTACTCCATCCTAATAGGGGCGCATGTGGAGACATGCGAAGTTTACTGCGCAGCTAACTTGTCTACTCCACGGTTAACTTCCATGCTCAGTGGGTGCATCTACACATTCATTAATGCCCCATAGTTACTGCGCATCTTGCACTTGAATAACCAAGTGCTAAATCAATGTGCAGTAACTGATACTGCTGCGCAGTAGCGCCAGCGCACAGCTTTTTAGTGACGCTACCTGCACAGTAGCCTAATACTATGGTGCAGTAGCATATTAGAATGGTTTTTGCCCTGCATGCTACTCCACAGTAGAATTAGGATACTGTGGCATTAGCAACTTACGTAGACATGACCAGCATGTAGTTAAATCTAGTACTAATGAATGCTAGATAGTCTAATACCTGTTTCAGATTCTTTGTGGTATGTCTGCTATGAGAGTGGCATGGAAAAAAAAGCAGAAACTTTAGCAATACAATGTAATTTATAAACAGTAATACGATTACATTTTTGAGGAACACTCTCTCAAAATAACTACATTAATTCCAAATCTAGAACTTAAACTCTATGTAACTAAAAAGATGAACATATTTTTTCCTATCATGATTTACTGTATTTTCAGTAATTCTAGGACACTAAGATAGGTGAACTGCTACCAGAGATATGCCAGTCTTCATTGTGACATTTACACACAAAGCAAAATAAGGGACTACTGGAGAAGAAAGAATGCAAATGTTATTTTGTAAAAATAAATCAGGTATCTATTCTGGTGTAGAGATGGGTATTAGAGGCATGTTGAAGGCTGCTCTGCTATCACCAGTGTAGGAATAATAGTAGTACAATACAAGTACACCTGAAATTTGCTGTAGCGTGTTTGCGTAAAGTAAATGTGCACATTTTGTAAAAAATAAATAAATAAAAATTATAAGGAAAAAACACCAAAAAAGCAGAACTTTTTGCGGGGTGGAAAGACACCCAGCAGCATTTCTTTGGATTTAATATTTCTTTAGCAAAATGGATTTATTGTTTAAAAGTTTAAATACAAGTATCCTGAGATAAAGCTTCAGGTAGTACTGAACTAACAGTTTAATACTTAAGTAATTTACCTGACAAAGTTAAAATGCAAAGAGTTACCCGGATGGAGATGGGGAGAAGGGGGGCATAGGAGGAAGGATTCAGAATAACATTGTTATATCAACACCTGAGTTACTATTTTTACATTATTTATACTATTGAAACAACACTGTCTATGAGTGGTATAAAAATCAGTTCTTCTGTGATGATACCCTCACATTCCACATTCCATCTGCACAACTCTCATCACGGGAATAAGTTACTGCAAGTTACGTCAATATCAAAATAAACATGTACATGCCATTTGGCAATGAGTTAGTTACTGCTCAAGTAATTACAGCCAAATTCTTGCGTCATACATGATAAACACACAAGCATAGTAGATGCGACAGAATTAATACACAGCAAAAATGAACTGATATTTACTCTACTTTCGCAACAAATGTAGATAGCCAATTATTGGATGTAGTTTCAGATTTAGAGCACAGGAAAAGTTAACTATTTTCCAGAATTAGACTTGCACAAGTTGATGTATGTTCACTTCATTGCAAATATTCATCTCTTCTCCCCTTGGTCCCAACACATTCCAGGAGATTTGCAGTTAGTTTTAAGAGAATAATTTATACCCCAAGGAAATTCCAGTGATGTCCACAGGCAACTTCTGATTTCCCTGAGCTCAGCTACAAGTACAGTAACTACAACATTTCTTGTTCAAGAGGAGATGGAACAATAGGTTGGGATTTTAGATTTGATGACAGCCACACTCTCCTGTTGATAAAAATTGATTTTAAACAATAAGAGGCTTCAATTCTGATGACACCCAAGTTATGAGGTTTCCTCAAACTTGTGCATATCAAAACACTACAAAACAAGCCCCAAAAAAGTTATTACAAGAAAAGCGTTGAGGACACAACTAAGTTAAGGTAGCATTTTCTGAGACAAATACTTTTCCAAATAGGAAAAAAAAAGCAAAAGAGAAACAAGCCACTAACTTATTTTTTCCCCAAAAGGACAGACTGATATTAACTAAACTAGTCAGTGTGGTTAATTGGGATGAAAAGGTCCAAGTGTAGAAAACAACTGGAATGTCTATAAATCCAAGTTGTGAAATCTAGCAGGAATTTGTATTCTAAGTGAGGGAAAAAGTCTTTTACTTATTACTCCATACATAACGTATTTAATAATCGCTGCAAAAAAGTGTAGGAGTAAACAGGAGAGCAGGGAAGAAGAAGAAAAAAGAAAATTCAGCATGGAAAGTTACTTTATGAGGATCAGAAATAGCTGGAATGAGGTATGGAATTACCAAATAGGTAAACTAAATTGAGCTGACATTGCAAAAGTAATTAAAGATTATAACTTTTTTTGGTATTTTAGCTATGTAAATAAAAAGACAACAAGAAACAAAGAAGTGGGGGTGCTATGCAGTGATACTGAGGGATTATGATTATAGATAATCTAGGTATGGCCCCAAAATTAAATGGGTACTTTGCTTCACATTTTCCCGAAAAGATGATAACGATAATGTAAAATATGAAGCTGCAACAGAGGTGGAACTAAAAGACAAAGATCTTAATGCATTCAAGTATTCCTTCCTTAAATACTGCAAAACCTGACTGATGAGACTGCAATTACAGTACAAAGCAATCCTGGGTTCTGACCCTTACTGTTGTCTCGGCTAATGTAAAATGTCTAAACAGGGCCAAATGCATGTAAGAAGGAATCAGTCTCTGTAGACATATACATAAGTAACATGCAGGGAACAACAACAACAACTCACCTTTCCACCATGATGCTCTAACTTCTGTAAAGCATCTGTGATTTTCTCTTTAAATTTTTTGTCCATTAATCTTTTTGAGAGCTATTGGAAAAGTAAATAAAAAAGGAATGAAAAAAATTAAGTATTTTAGTACAATGTATGAAAAAATCCTAAATTTATCTTAGCTTTAATATCTAGATTCACCTTGGATCAGAAAAATGAAAGCAAGTAGCAGCATTACAAGGGCTTATAGCTGTGCCATAGTAATACACTTATTTAAAAGCAAAAAGAAAAATGAAACTTTCAATAACAAAATTTCAGTTCAACAGAAGGCTCTCAGTACAGTAATAGCGTTACTACAAAATAAGAAAACACCTTATTTGAAGCAATTTTCTGCAACAGGATATTTTATGAAAAGGCCTTAACTTAACCTTATCATAAAATACTACTGAGGAGTTTACACCTACGTTTTGGTCTAGACTTTAAGGGTTTGTCTACATGGGGGACCAGACCAAAATAACTGTTTTGGAATGGTTCTTCTGTTCTGTATTAAGAAGTTCCTGTTGGAAGTGAATTAAGTGGAAAAAAAAAAGTTACTCAACAGAAAAATAAACATCCATTCAAAAAGCTAATGCCAAATAATTACTGTATGTAGAATTTTCAAACTATTACCTAGTTATTTCACAATAAATTCCCTATGTAAGCAATCCTAAAAGAAAGTAGGAAGATTTTTTGCTAACTTCTTAAAAACTTTCACTGACTTTGTTTATGTATATTAATATTTAAAAACATGGAGATCATTTTATAATAAACAATATACCTTCGAAACCAAGCACCTAATCAGACTCAAATCTTTGGGACTAGTGGATTGTTAGATCCACACAATCCACCAGATTACCACAGAGCTATAAATCTGTACAAAAGTATCTATCAAGAAAGGCCTTTGATGGAACACTTGAAAATTCCATCATTTCTCTGTGAATCAACAGGAAATATCTCAACAAAATCATCATAAGAAACTTACATTTGTGAGTATATGTTTCAAATGAATATTAAGTGAAGAACCAACAACTGCACTCAGCTGTACCAAAGCATTCAATCCCCTTTCAAACACTTCACCATCTGAATGGGCCTTGAAAGAGGAGAAAAATCAAAATGAATAATCTGTTTTCAAACAGTTATCCTCAACCAAATGTCCAAGCTCTCCAAAATTTAATAAAAATGAACTTAAATCACACTCGACCAGGACTTTTATACTTTTCAAATTACCGAAACAAAGTAAAATTTAGTAATATTTAGCAGGTTGAGAAATACAAGTACAGCATTAAGATATAATGTGAATATGAAAAAAATATATTTTAGGAAAACAAGCAGAAAAACATTCACTAAGCTACATCAAGAATTTGATGCTGTCAGGACTAAGTTTCAAACTAATAATTTACATCTTGAACCAGAGGCAAACTGTACCAGTATATATCCTAACTTAGGTTAGAGACCTGCTTAGACACTGCAGGCCCAGGCATGGAACCTGATTCAAATTTTCCAAGTTGGGTTGCTAGGATTCCCTTCCATACAGTCAGCAGGGAGACACAAGTGCCTACTGCTGTGTATTACTTACTCAATCTCTCCATAATCACAATGGGTACAGGCAGTACAATCTCCTGAGGGCAATTCACAGACCCTGGGCATTGCTCAGACAATGGGCAGGCAGCCAGAGAGGGGATTGACATCTTTGTATTTCAGATGCACAGAAGATAACTCATACAGCACTGGACTTCAGGGAACAATGGATGCACTCAGCAACAGCTTCAAGACATGCAGGGACACGGATACTCAGTTATCTTATGGCCAAGAACACAGTCGACATCCTCCTGCTTTGGGCACACCTGCCACAATCGATCATTTTCAACATTTTCTGTGAACCAGGGGAGGATGGAGCCACCATGTAACGTTCTGGAATCTGCTCACACAAGCAGCACACACCACAGAGGGTAAACTGAATCACAGGGTAGGGACACACTTGCACAAGTAGAGCTGCCGCATGGGCACAAAGCACTGCGAGTGAGGGAGGGGTAGCCGCTATGGTTCCGCAGCCAAATTATTTGCATGGCCCTGCTTTCCTCTTCTTGTAGGCAGACTGTGCTGCCAGACCCTAGCTATTATACGTTCTGGCTGAAGTCATCTCAAGCATATTCTAAATACCCTGCATATCCTGACAAAGGACCTCCCTCCCCCCTATATAGGTCTTAGAGACCTCAATACTGTCTGTCAATTGAAAAGCAGCATGTTGGTCCACAAGGATGCCCTAACTCCTGAGGATTGTGATGACCCTTCTACATTTTCTAATATATTTCTGAGACAGATTTTTATAGGAGTTAAAAAATAGAGTCAGGGCCACCTTGCACTGCTTTCTCTGCTGACATTACAGCTCAGAATCTGGCCTGAGCTCAGCCCTAAATTTATGTGGGCTCAGTGTGGAGATCTTAATCCAAAAGCATTCCCTCCATCCTCCTTGCCCTAATCCCACTACCTCCCCAACCAGGGCAGTTGGTGCCAGCCTGCAACAGACTGAGCTCTGCCTGCCACTCATATCACAGAGAAACCAAAGGAAATGCAGAGAAGATTGGGATATAGCATAGCAAGTATGCTTCTTCCCTCAAGGTCTAGCATGAACTCTTTGATAACCGCCTACACACAGCAACTACACAAACTTCCACTCTGAAGATATTAAGTAATGAGAGGATGCTACCAGAACCCATGGATGGCAGTTATCTAAACACTTTCCTCTTATACAGGCAAACAAGTTAGCATAATTTAGCACTCTCAGACTCGGAGACATGTAGGTCGCTTTCCCTGTCGGCTGCCTCTGCTGTACAGAGCTCAATTTGGGGTGATAACCAGATACTAGCTGCTTGGCTATGGGGAGGTCTGCAGGTGCTCAGGAGGCCACCCAAAGAGGCAGTTTCACAATCTGCTAAATGCCCCCTTGCAGAGCAATTCAGCATACCTCACTGCCCAGTTCTGCAGAGGGGACTGCCAGGGATGTTGTTCCTGTCCTATAGGTGGGCACTGGCTGAGGTGCAGCATCTGGCAATTCCATGGGAAATACTTAAGAGGATCTGGCAGGAGAGCCTAGCACTCTTCTGGTGCTGTTATATTGCTGCTGCTGTGTCCCCTTCAAACAAGCAAACCCACCATGAGAACCACTCTTGCTCCTGTCTGGCCATGTCATGGTCAAATCTTATTGGTATGCTACCTTCTCCATGGATGAAGTAGTAAAGCAAAACATGCATGATCTTGTGGAGGACTTCACTGGTAAACTAATGCTCAAACAGTGAACTAAACAGCAGGGTAGGTTGGCACTAAGGCTGTCAAGCTTCAGGTGCCGATTCAATTTGGAGGAGATTTGACCCAATTAGGTGGCCAAATCTCACAAGCAGAATTGAATCAGGAAACCAATTAAAAGATCCGAATCGATTTAAAGCTCCCCAGATCGATTCGGAAAAGATTTGGAGAGCTTCGGCAATTCAGACAGTCCCCGGCTGCTGCAGCAGGCAGCTGGCCCCAGACTCTATGCTGGTAAGTAGGGGGCGGGGACCATGGAGGACCCCTGCCAGGCCCCATGCCCTGCCTGCTCCCCCAACCCCCGCCCGCTGTCCCA